ATAAGAAGACAAATGTAAAGTTTAGGACAACCATACAAAGGATGAGAGGCATCTTGGACTACGTGCACACAGATGTTTGGGGTCCCACCAAGACGACATCACTTGGTGGTCGACGTTAGTTCATCACGTTTGTTGATGACTATTCTAGGCATTGTTGGGTGTACACCATGACGAAGAAGAGTGAAGTTCTAGAGATATTTGTGGAGTGAAAGAGGATATTAGAAATGTAGAGTGGGAGAAAGATCAAGACATTGAGATCCGACAACCGTGGCGAATATACTTCAGACCCTTTTCAGCAGCTATGTTAAAGACAAGGGCATAGAGAGATATTTCATAGTTAGTCATACGCTGCAGCAAAATGGGGTGACAGAGAGATTGAATCGGTCTTTACTAGAGAAGGTCCGATATTTATTATCGCATAGTGGTTTGGAGAAGATCTTTTGAGCCAAGGCACTTTCTTATGCGAGCCACCTCATTAATAGGATGTTTTCATCTGCGATTGAGGGGAAAACCCCTATAGAGATGTGGTCGAGAGAGCCAGCACGCGATTATGATCAGCTCAATGTATTTGGGTGCCATGCATTTTATCATGTGAAGACTGATAAATTAGAACCTTGAGCTAGGAATGTCATATTTGTAGAATTCAAGTGTGGTGCCAAAAGATACAAGTTTTGAGATCCAGTTGATAAGAAGATTGTGCTGAGTAGAGACGTCACATTTTATGAAGCTTCGATCTTGCTTTTTAGCTCTCGTCAGGTGGAGAGCACACCGAAAGAGGAGATATCACAGGTGGTGGAGATTGATGCAGCTCCACAATGTCCAGATAAGACCGTATCTATTAGAATGTCGACTGATGTGACACCAGGCGAGCACGGTGATGATTTGGAGGATACAGATACAGTTGAGCAGGATCAGGGACTGACGGCTCAGGTTCATGATTATATTGCAGTTCGAAGGCCGAGGAGAGACATATGGATGTCAGCGAGGTATACAGACACAATCGTTGCATATTCACTTCCGGTGGAGAGTATCGATGAGACGGTTCCTACTACATTCAGAGAGGCCGAGCAGAGTTTGGAGGGTGATTTGTGGCAGGTGGCTATGCAGGAGGAGATAGAGTCTCTTCACAGGAACGACACATGGGAGCTTGTCGATCTTCCAAAGGGTCGGAAGGCTATTGGTTACTAGTGGGTGTATATGAAGAAGGAGGACATTAAGGGCACTCCCGTGAGGTTCAAAGCTAGGTTTGTAGCGAAGGGCTATGCACAGGAGGAAGGTATTGACTACAATGAGATCTTCTCTCCGGTGGTGAAGCACTCTTCGAATCATATTTTGCTAGCATTGGTGGCACAGTATGGTTTAGAATTAGATCAGTTAGATGTGAAAATGACATTTCTTTATGGTGATCTTAATGAGAAAATCTATATGACTCAGCCATTGGGGTTTCGAGCTGTAGGGAAGGAGAAATTGGTTTGCAGATTGAAGAAACCGCTATACGATTTGAAGCAATCTCCGCGACAGTGGTATAGGCGATTCGATGAGTTTATGCTCGGTCATTCGTAAATTAGGAGCCAGTTTGATCCTTACGTGTATTATCACAAGTTGCATGGAGGTGCGTACATTTACTTACTGTTTTATATCAATGACATGTTGGTTGCTTCTACTACCACATCCGCAATAGATAGATTGAAGATTCAGCTTTCGAGCGAGTTTGAGATGAAGGATTTGGGTGAAGCGAAGCGCATTTTAGGGATGAAGATCGGCAGAGACAGATATAGTGGCATAATTTGTTTGACACAAGTGGCTTATTTGAAGAAGGTCCTATAGCGATTTAATGTGAGCATGGAGACAAAGCCAGTTAGTGTACCATTGAGAGCCCATTTGAAGCTTTTAACTGACCTTTCACCAAAGACAGTTGAAGATAGATAGTTGATGTCGAAGACTCCATATGCGAGCGCAGTTGGAAGTTTGATGTACATCATGATTTGTACGAGGCCGGATTTGTCACAGGCAGTGAGCATGGTTTTGAGATACATGCACGACCCGGGACCGGGTCATTGGGATGCCGTGAGATGAATTTTGAGGTACATTCGAGGTACCATCAACGTTAGTTTGGTTTTTGAGCGGGACACTAGTGGTGGGCAGCTATGCATTGGATACGTAGGTTCAGACTACGCTGGAGATTTGGATAAACGCCGGTCGACGACAGGGTATGTGTTCACTTTGACCCGTACGCCGGTGTGTTGGAGATGCACATTACAGTCTACAGTGACTTTGTCAACGATGGATGCAGAGTATATGGCGATTACAAAGGCTGTTAAGGAGACAATTTGACTTCGAGGACTTTTGGAGGATCTTGGTGTTTCGCAACGATCCGTCACCATTTATTATGATAGCATGAGTGCTATTTATTTGGTGAAGAATAATGTCTTTCATGCGAGGACGAAGCATATCGACGTTCGTTATCACTTCGTTCGAGATGTTCTTGAAGATGGGGATGTGGAGCTTGTGAAGGTCCATACAAAAGATAATCCAGCGGATATGCTCACGAAGGTGGTCCCGAGCAACAAGTTTGATTATTGTAGAAACTTGTTACAAATTCGAGATTGTTGAGGCCGTTTGCGGCCATTTGGATGAACTACGGGCAGCTTGATCCCTTAGGAGAGGGGGTACGTAGGCAACCACATTGATGCAACCGGATTTGGCGAGACGACGCATTGGTGCTTATGTTGGTGTCGACTAAGTTTTGGAAACACTTCGCCGAGGTGGAGAATTATTGAAAACGACGAAAGAATTGAGAAAAACGTGAAAAATCAGCATATACAGTTTGGTTGCGGGTCGGTCGATCGAACGGCATAGGCCGGTCGACCGATTTCGTGCACAATAAATACATGGTCTGAAACCCTGTTCGGGTCGGTCGACCAGCCACGCTCGTGCGGTCGACCGAAAGTGTGCTTTTTACAGGACCGAAATTTGGGTTTCTGGCCGATCAACCGCGAAGCGAGTAATTGGGCCAGTTCGTTTTTCCCAGTTGGTTTTGGATTGGTGTTTGGTATAAATACAAACACGATTTTTAGGGTTTCTTAAGGAGAGAATTAGCATTGTTTTGAGCACTTAGAGAGGGAGATATTGTGAGAGAGTTGAGATCTTTGGTTAGTGTTATATTTGAGAGATTGTGCGAGTTGTAACTCGTTGTATTTCTCATCCATATAGTAAAATCTCTCCATCCTCTCCCCTTGGACGTAGGCAATTGCCGAACCATGTATATCTCTATTTGGTTTGGTTTGTGCCATATTTTGGTGAATTGCACTCGTGTCTGGTTTTGGTTTTCTTCTCTCATCGCACACCGACTCGTTTGGTTGTCGAGCACACTTCTGCACGACGCGCAACAACTAATATTTTATATTTTAAACTTACTATTATTTATTAATAATTGTTTAATATAATGTTAGTTATTGTTGAATAGCTTTTGGTTACAATACAATATATTTTTAATAATAACTCCAATAATACTTCATAATTTTTTATTTTTGTGAGTTATTATAGTGCAGGTCTAAAAACTTTAAAGTTTTTCGTAGTCCTTTTTTACACCCACAAGTCTGCTTCGCCTTCATTTCAATGTCAATAATCTTTGAAATAAATTAGGATCTATGGTTTTTTAAATAATTATATAAATCTAATGGTTGATAAAAAAAGAAAATAACATATAAAGAGAGGATTAAGAGGAAAGACAGTCTAGTATGACGGCATGGTCAGATGATGATGCTGACTATTAGAGGAAGAGAGGATGGAGGGAAAACAAAAAGAAATATGAAAACTGAAAATAAGAACTAGAGAGTTCTAGGTTTTTACCAAGTAGTTCTAGCCCAAAACTTGGGATAATTTGAGAGACTAGAACTCTCATATTTGTATAGAGAAATAAAAAAAAGTGAGATAGTTTTATGCCATTCTCCTAGTTCTAACATTGTTTTAGTTCTAGTTGACTAATACTATAAACATTTATCATAGATCTAGTTCTAATTGACTAACATTGTAAAATTTTATCCCATACAATTATCCTAATTTCAATTTTGAGTTTTACTTGACTAACCCCCCTCAACAAATAATCAAACAAATCAAATACACATTTAGTTATATTTTATTTGTTTATGAATCGAATGCTAAAATTATTTCGTTACAGTTAATTGAATTATCATATCGAATATGACCAAAAACTATTTGTTAATTATTTGGTTCTTCACTCATAGAGCTAGATAGCATCTATATCTCAAAATTGTAGGTGACAATATAACCGTATTTATGGTGTAATTGCCTCCCAAATCTAAGGGGCAAACCCCAACAAATTCATAAGCTGAAAATAATTTTTGCAGCTAATGTACAAGTCAATTTAGGATCCCGTAACTTATAAAACTCAACCATGCATCCTAAGCTAAGTAGCTTTCTAAATTCAACACCTAGCAAAAACTATTTCCTTCTAAGAAAGTATCCGTTTGATGATATTAAATGTGTATTTAAAAAATATCAATCCTTGAATATATGTACATGAATTCTAAAATTTAATGATTGAAGGGCTAAAATTTATTGGATGCATATTTTATCATGAATCCGTCACGCTTTACAATTTTCCCTTCTTTGGATTCTCATAATATTCCTATAAACTAAATTAAAGAGCAAGACTGAATAATCTACAGAACCCTTTTTAAAGGGCGGCCCTCAAGATCACATGTCCCTATTAACACTAACCAACTTGCTCAAAAATCTCAAAATACCCCCTCCCTCTGAAACTTTTTTGTCTCAATTAACTCCTTACTTTTCTCTCTCTATATAGCTCAAGACACAGCCATTTGCTTCTCCTTCAGGAAAAAAAAAATCCAACTCTTTTTTCATCTCTTTGCTCTCACCAGCAGCGACGAACTCCATAATCACTTCTCCTTCATTAAGCTCCAAGATCAAAATTTGACACCTGCCCGTTTCTCTAAACCCCTCAATCCTTCAAACCCATGTCTTCGACTCGCAGAAAGTTCCACGTCAGACAGCCAGCCATCGTCGACATTGGCTGCAACTGCAGAAAACCAAAGCTCTCGTATTTCTTTCCCAAGCAAAGAAAAACCCATACAAATTACCCAAGCATTTTCTCTCCTTCAACAGAGAGCATCACAACCACAACCAACACTAGCTCCTCATTCTCTCCTTCAAATGTTACTTCACCGCCTTCACAAGCCTTCTTGAGCCCAAAACAGAGTAAGAGGAAGAAGGGAGTGGTTGAGGATAGTGTTGCTGTAGAGAAAGAGAGCTCTGATCCCTATTTAGATTTCAGGGATTCGATGCTGCAGATGATAGTTGAGAAGGAGATTTACAGTTGGGATGATCTTAAAGAGCTGCTGCATTTGTTTTTGTCCCTCAATTCTCCTCGCCATCACCCTCAAATTCTTCAGGCCTTTGCCGAGATTTGGAATGGGGTATTCTCACCGGGGAGTTGACGGGATCAACCGAGGTGGTGATCGCCAGGGTCTGCTTGCTGCTGAGATCCTGTCACCACCGAGTTGTCTTAGCTGTGCCACGTGGGGTAACTTGACTGGGTGGTGATAGGATCTTTGGATGCAGATGGAAAGTGTAAAAAAAGTAAAAGTTTGGTACTTTGTGGGGGGAAAAAGTGTAAGATGCTTTAATTAATTAGGGTTTCAAGCGTAAGGTGTGATGCAGGAGTCAGTGCTTTACTAGATTCATGCATGAGACTTGTGTGTGGGTGTGGGTTTTTTTTTGGGGGGGTTATTAATGAGGAGTGATGAGGTTGCTTGCTTGTACTGATGCTGCTTATATCTACTGTATCTACGTAGTATTTTTCATGAATGCGCATGGGTTTCATCATGAGATCTTATTCAATGCATCTCTGTCTATCCATCCATCCATCTATGTAATTGTCATTATTAACCTGCAGGTCAGCATGTTATACTGTTTGGTTAGAAAAGTATTCAGGACTGAAGAAAGAAATATACCAATTCGATCATAACATCACATGTATTTCACTTGTCTACAATAGACTTTTATTCATACAGTAACAATAGGATAAGTAACATAGACATTCTTTTAATGTTAGTATAGAATAGGGTAAATTTTCTCTGTTATATTTAGTGTAGGAGAGTTATATGCCAAACTAGAAAGTATTACGACGGTCCACGACAACTAATGTGCATTTAAGGGATATCAAATCTTATATTGGTGCACGAATCGTGAAGTTCAATAACCAAAGGTCGATAACTATTGAATGCCCATTTATTGTCATGAGCTGCCTTACTTGGTCTTTTCTCGTGGCAAACAGCTCAAGTTAATAAGGGGTTTGTGAAATTTATCCTATAGAAATAGAATATCTTGTTAGATCTAATAAAAACTTGAGATCTAAAACCATAAAGCCATGATTAATTCGAAGAGATTAACAATAATCAAAAGAGCATAAGCTTATACCTGAATCCATAGATGAAACCTGAGATGGGTTTTGGATCTTCTAACCTTAGGGTTTCTCTATAGCCGAATTTCTCTCTAGATGGGGGTGAAGAGAATTAGAGAATGTAACCCTAGATTAGGGACCATAACCTCTTATTTATAGATGTTGTAAATTTGCAATTTGGCCCCTCAACAAATAACAATTACAATCTGGTATCTGCACATATAACCCTATGATTTATTTAAATACACATTAACCTAAATTAATTGATCACTTTAGTGGGTTATCCTGAAAGATAGCAATATACATTGATTAATCATATGTACCCACAAATAGATTTATTAGATTAAATCCAATATATCTTGGCAAACTATAGCACTTCATTTGTATCTGGACAAGTGATTATGAAGATGCTAGAGTTTTTTTTATCCGGGGGGGGGGGGGGGGGGGGGG